CTTTTTCCTTCCCTTCTACCTTGTTTGCTTGCAACCATAAGCTATTGCTATAAAAATCCTTTTTCATTTTTGGTGGAAATTTTGTCAGAATTTCGTTTGGGTTTCGGTTGAATTTTTTAGTTGTTCATAAATTGGAGCTTTTTTAGCTGTGCATAATGCATGTGAAACTTTATTGGATTTGTACAAAAAGTTGGTTGATATTTGACTAAAAAGTATATTGCGATTATTGGCATCTGAATTAGAAAAGGATATAAAGCTTTGTTTGTAAAGTAAATGAAGGAGGAGCACATAAAATATCAAAATTTTAAAGTTTTATCAAAGACTTGTGACTCAGCACTACACTTACTAATACAGTTTAAAGTCCTTAACATCCATCAAATCACATCACAAATATTAATCACTATTTGTGACATTTTTGACAAATCTCTAGTCCTAATAAAATTGTAAAGCATGATTACAAAAGTTTTATGGCAGATTTAGAATAATTTATCAATTTAAAAGCAAGAAGTAAAATTAATTTATTTTTGAAGGCATTCCAATGAGAATTTCAAGAAGATTCATGACATTTAGATTTATGAGACATTTTCAAATCAAAATCATTAATAAAATTCTCAAAATTCTTGACGAAATTGCCGTCAAGGGAATGAAGAAAAAGAAAAAAAATCTCATTTAATTTTTGTTGATTTCTTGTTTGAAAATTGCAATAAATTTACTTTCATGCTACGCCATGCCATGCATGTATATAAACCTCTTCCTTCACATCCCATAGATTCATTATATGAGATATATGTGTGTATAGATAAGTAGGTAGCATATTTGCTGTTAAAAATACTTCATATAACACCGTGAGGTTGCGCTTTTTCCACACTCCACATCCTGTGTCTCCTTCATGTACTCCTTCATCTTATAAAATCATGCTTAGCATATTGAAGATGAATGAAATATGAAGGATAGATTAAAATCTTGATTACACTTGACTGTGTTAAAAGTTAGAAATGAGAATCAAAAGTAGAACAGAAAATTTATTGATGTAAGGAATAAACGTTAATTCTATAAATGGAGATGTTCATAAATGACGTTTTAAGGACTCAGTGACTCTTTAAATTCGATCCTTCATTTGTTACCTGATTTAAGGCATAATTCTTCAATTACAACCTAAATTTCATGTAGTTCCAACCTCCACACCACTCTTGAGCCGCCTATCAATTCACATCATTCAAGAACGCCCCCATAAGCACAATAGTAAAGTTAAAGATTGAAAATTTCAATGATTTCAATCATATCTAATCTTTTCATATGATATTTAGAATTTTAAGTGCTTTTTAGAGACTTCTTTCTCTTCATTGTCATAGGAATAGAGAAATTTATTATTTTCATACACTTCATGTGCTTTAGATCTTTGAAAATGATATTGTTTTCAAATTTTCTGATAAAATATGATGTTTTCGAGCTCCTTACACTTCATGTGCATAAAACTTGATATTTACGAAGTAAATGGGAGAATTTTAAAGAAAGAAAATACTTTTAGTAAATAATTAATGCCGTTGTAACGTTATTTTACAATTTCCTGGTATTAAATTCAATTAAATGCTGAGTTTAAAATAGCTATTGGAAGTGACTTGGTGAAAAATAAATTTTCAAAATTATTTTTTTTTCGGAATTTTTTAACATTATTCTTGGAGAGGGGCCGTTCACTTATGACGTCCAGGAGGAAGTGGAGGGGGGGGGGAGGGGGGGGGGGGGGGGAGGGGGGGGTTTGTCAGCAAGAAAAGAATAATAGAAAGGACCGTTAATTTCGGACGTCATAAGCGATTGACCCCAAAGGTTTCTCCTGTAAAAATATTAATGTCTAGCAGGCGCATAGCCAGAGGGGATTTGGGGGACAAATCCCCATTCACCTTGAGAAATTTCTTCATTCTGCTAGATTTATTATGAAAAACTCGAAAAATCTCAGACAACCCCCCCCCTTAAAAATTTTCCATACAAAAAAAAATTATCTTTATCGAAATTCGAAAGTTTGATGCTTAAAATCAATTTTTGTAAAAATTTAAAGGTCTTAATTATCCTTAAAATACTCATGATCCTCATAATTCAAGTAATGCTATTTAAAATAATCAGGAAGAATCGTTTTGATCATTAATTCAGCTCAAGCATTTACTTAAAAACCAAAATCAGCAGATAATAAACATTTCATTCCAGCAATAGATTGGATTGAATGGGAATTATCATGACTCGAATTGAAATTACATTTAGCAATCATAAAAAGGAAAGAAAGCATCACTGGAAGAAAGAATCTGAGGAGAAATAAAATAAAAATTTTTTTTGATCATGAAAAGTCGCTGAGGCAAGAAATCTTTTGATGATGATGCGCACAATTTTTTCATCATCTTCCTATTTCCTTGTCTTATTATGTTCCTTTATATTCACATCCGTTTGAAAGCGATAGATAAATCATGATTAGCTGATAATGAAGCATAGGTAGGATAAAAAATGGCATCTAGAGATTTTTTTTTTGGATTTTGCAAATTGCAAACGATTTTTTTCTCATCATTATGCAATAAGATTTATGGAGGTGGATAGAGAAAAGGTGCTTCAAAGGGGTAGTTTTAAGAATATGCTTTAGATTATTTTTGTGAATGATTTTGTCAGATTTTTGGAGGGTTTGGTAAATTATAGCTTTAAAATAGAGCTTTAAGACTTTTAATCTAGCTAATGTAATCTGTATTGAGTTCTATAGACTTCCCTTGGTACTCTCAACTCACGTTTAAAGATTTTGTCATATCCACTTTCAGGTACTCTGGGTAACCTCAAAAATTAATCTCAGGTTTACTTGTCAGCCTCATTCAGCTCAAGCTCTATTCCATACAGTAAAATACATCCAAAGTCCCTCTAAATTCCTAAATCATTCCTCGTTCCTCGAAATTCAATCAAAAATCATCTCAGAGAAAAGTTGGCAACTTCTTTCTTTCTTCCTTATCAAATTTCAAACCCAGATTCAATCAATTTCTCATGTGATTCATTACTTCCTATGTCTACTACGTTTGCTACGCCTACAATCCTTCCATCTAATTCTGATACCTTTCTCATTATCCTTTCCTACAACATTTTTTTTACTGACTTTTCAATGATCCTCTTGATATAAATTTCTAAGTCTGCTTCTTGATATAAACTCTTGAATCTACTTCTTAATATCAATTTCGATGTCTGCTTTTTTGCCAGACAAGTGCTCATAATATTGATTTTGAAATAGGAAAATCGAGTTTGAAGGCTATAATTTAATTTTTCGTTTAAAGAGTTGATTAGATTAAAGCATGTCTGTAAATATCATCAGTGTTGGTATTCTTCTTAAATGGATTTCGTCTTGATTATCTTCATTGGAACCTTAGTGATGAGTCAAATTTGAGTCTTGCTTTGAAGATTTTTGTCAATTTGTGGTTTAAAGAATATGCTTGCATTTTTAGCCATCCTTTATGCTGAATATAAAGCCAATAAAATTCCCTTTGACCTAAATTTACAGAATATTTTAGAATGTTCCAAACATTCATGCCTTAAAAAAGCCAAAGAGCAACTTTCTAAAATTCCTTATTTATTTTGATTGCTCTGCTCTGTTTGCTTAGCAAAAGTAGACATAAAGTATTACAACATTGATATTGACTTTAATTTCATTTTCGTAGGAAAGTAATCAGGAAGAAATAAACACAAAAATCAACAGATGAAGTTTGTTCGTTAAAATCATCGTTTGATTGTGCTGCTTCTTATTGCTTCCAATTAGTGTCACATATTTTTCATTGTCGAATGAGTATGGGAGCCATATGAATAGAGAAGTGTGTTGCTTCATTTTTTTTATTATTATGTTGGGTTGTTCTGAGGAAATAATAAGTTTTGAAGATCTTGTTAAGTTTTGTGGACGGTTTTGCATTTATTCGATTTTTTTAAGGTTCTTGTAGTCAACTAAGGTTTGATAAGTTGCATATCTTGGTTCGAACTAAGTTGTAGCTAAGAATGACAGATTTACAATTCTCCTTTAGAAACTTTGCAAACAAGATGGAATATCCATAATTAAAAATGCCAAGGATATCTTCAATAAAATACAGAACTTGGTTCTTTCATTACTTTTAGATTTTCTAGTGTAACTGAACTCTAATGAATATTGTTAAGCAATATCCAATTCTATAAAGTTTTCTTTATGATTTCACTTCATTTTCTTACTTTTTATTGGAATAAATTAAACTTTTTCTTCAATTCTGAATGAGATTTTTATTGGAAAACTATAATGATGCATTACTTTTCTTCAACAGAAACTTTCTAATCTAAAAACTTTGTTTTTCACAATTTTTTTCTTGAAGAGGAGACTTTACGAGCAATATTTCAATGTATGAAGAATGAATGTAAAGTTTTTCTGGTTTTGGGTTTCAATGGAGTTTTAAAAAATGTTTTGGTAATTGCCTGTTGAAAAGTTTATATGAAGCTAATTAAGTTTTACAAGTCAACAAAGCTGGTATCATTAAAACTTTATTTAAGAAATGAGGGATCAACTTATGAGTTATGAATTGATCAGAATAATCAGAAATGATTAAAACTTAATAAAATTGATTAAATATGATCAAAACTTAACAAATTTGATCAATATTGATCAGATATAATCAAATATGATCAAATATTGTGAAAATTAATCAAAGCTATTCAAAATTAGTCAAAAAATCAAAATTTATCAAAAATGATCAAGAAGTTTACCAAAATGACTTTAAAAACTCAAAAATAGTTTGAAAATGTTCGAAAATAAACCAAAGTTTTCAAAAGATAATTTATCTGAACCTTATCTTTGTTTTTTTACCCAACAGCAAACTTACTAAAACGTCAATGACCTCAGAGTTATTGTTAAAATATCCTGTAATAAACAAACAAATTGATTTATACATCCACAAGACAGAACAAAATAATAAATAAAACATTTTATTTGATAACAAATTTTTCATCAATTTATTCATTACGATTCAATTTTGTCCTATCTAAGCTATTTAAAATGTACAATATTATTATGTTCAACTTATCTATTTTCAATTCCTACATATGAATGGAATGCTCAAAACGATGAAAAGTAAGAGATAAATCTTATAAACTAGATGTAAAAAAAGAACAACTTGAGAGAGATTAAAACTTACAAAATAATAAAAAAATGAACATAAAAATTTGTCTTATTCGCTTCCTTAAAGTTCTATGAACATTTTCAATTTTCTTATCTTATTCTTTGATCCTAAAACTAGTAACTGTTGGCGAAAGATGAGATGAAAAAAATAAATGAACGGATGAGCTTCTCTGACTCGGCTACATTTATTCCCATCATTACCATTCATTTATTATCATTACCTTTTGCACTTGAAACATTGACTGGCACAATTCTTTAGATTTGTTAATTTGTGAATGACTTGCTCCTGCCATAGACATGTAACAATGAGATGAGAGAAAAATAGAAAAATTGTGTTAAATAATGTTCTTGTGTGGATGTTCGGGGGAGTGGTAACTTGGTGGATTTTTAATTTTAAATCGAGGGAAAACAACTTGATGAGAAATAAAATATGTTTGGAATTTTACTCCTGTTTTTCTACTAAAATGTACTAGAATCTACTAAAATTGTATTAAAATCTGTTAAAAATTTCCCCCTTAATCTTTTCCTCATCATGTTGGTTCGTTCCAGAAAAATTAAAAACTTCGAATTGCAACTCCACCTAGTGACCCTCCCCATCCAACAAATGTATTTTTCATGCTGTGGTTCTGTCAGATGCTAAAGCATGAAAAAATAGAAAAATAGAAGCAAGAAAAATTTCTTTTTTTTTCATCCCGTCAAAATGCTCTAAAAAAATCCTCTTGTTGATTTTTCTATACAGTTCTCGGACAAAGTCCTTTTGTTAGCACAAGTGCTTCATTTCATTCTCTTTCACATCTTCTGTGACTGATGATAATGAAGAAATTTTTCCTTCCATCTCCTTTGACCTGTCATCTGTTAATATTTACCTGCATAAGATTAAAGCACATTGCAATGAGAGCCATTCCTAGTAGAAGATAAACCGCACAAAATATAAAGGCTAAATCTACACTCTGATATCCGTCTGCTGACAACTGCATTGTTGAAGTTTTTTTCAATGTTGATTTTTCCGGTTAGTTTTTTTTTAAAGGAAGACAGAAAATAGAGATAAAAAAAAGAAGGCATTAGAAATAATGTTTAAAAATGAAGTGTTTTATTTTTTGGATTATCCTTGATATTTAGATGATGTGTTCTTGACGAGGTCGTTTTCAGCGGATCAGGAATTGTTTTGCAAGTTAAAACACATCTCGATCTATTCGCTTATAGTAAACTATGTCGATGACACTGAGATCTTCAGACCTTCTATCCTTCCATCTTTCTCATTACAAAAGTTGAAGTGTCTTAAAAATTTTAGACCCCCTTGACCCCGTTGTTTATCACCGTCATGAGATCGACAACAGTTCTATTGTTCACAATTGATCCGTACGGCTAGCGAAGGAATTAAGTATGAGTGTGTGATCTTCAAATAGTAAACTAATATTTTTAAATTTTAACGAGTGAGGGTTCTTCTAGCAACTGTGTTCAACCTTAAACCTACATAAAGTGTATTAGACTGTATGTCTAGGAAGATTTTTCTGCATGTAGCTTACAGAGAAAGGTTTGAAAAGTCTAAATTCTGGGTCTCTAACCTTTGATCGCTGTGTCTCTAATCTTTGGTCGCTATGTCTCTACCCCATTAATAATAGGCGAATAGGTCACTTTACTGATTTTGGTTTCGGGTGGTTTTTAAACAACAAACTTCATTTAGTATGGATAAAGCCTAAAACTTTACGGGCGAGTGATGAGAGGTTCTGTTTTTGCTGGACGTCCTTTAAGAACGAGCACTAATATAGATGCAAATTTTATCATCATTCTTCACAATCTTTCAAAAATACTTTGAATTATTGTTTTGTGGAATCATTGCAGCTAGCAATCAATTAATTAAAGCCAGTATTTCAGTTCTTTATGATTGCAATACTTAGTTACGAAATTAATTACGAAAACTTCCCTGAGAAGTCTCTTCATAAACTTAATGAAAGAGAAAAGTCTGCCTTTATATCCCATTCAAATAGTAATAATTTCGCAATGAATACACATGAATGCAAATTCGTAATAAATGCTCCGCTGTTAAATGATGACGATCATTAAAAAAAGATATGCAGTGCGATAAAAATCTCTTTTTACAAAGTATCGTGGTTTTTGTATACATTTTAGTGACGTTTGAGCCATAAAAGTACTAATAATAATGATGCAACTTTTGATTCATTAAAAAACAGTTCTGAAGCTTTTTCTCTGGAAGCTGATTTATACTGTGCGTTAAGGAGTGGAATAAGGATGGATTTTAAGAATTTTGTGAGAGCATACAGTTTTTCCTTAAGTTTAGACAGTCAAAAAATTTGAAAACTGACCCCCTTTCTTGAAAACTGGATACCTACGCCTCTGCCTGTGCGTATCATCAGTGCATTCAAAAATAACACACAAAGTATATACACAACATTCAGCAATTCATTCGGATAATGCATTAAAAAAATTGCAATGACTATGGTGAGTCGAAAGAGAGGGGGTAGATGTAAAATAAAATATATTGCATAATAAATATTTTATTGCCATTTACTGTTTTGTGAGTGAGAAAAAAAAGAATGCATTCGGAAAATTGTTTTTTTTTTCATCATTGCTGTTGCTCTTTCATGCTCGATGAAAAAAAAAATATTATGTGAAAATTCTCATCTCACTCATTCAATGGATCATTATTAATACGAATCTGTAGACTAAATAATATTTCGATCAGAAAATCTAATCCTTCTAAGAAGGTGAAGCACGTACCAACATGTGTTTGGTGTGGCTGTTTATGTGTGTTTGGGTGCGTTACATAATAACAATTTATAACTTGAAATAAAAATGAAAATGAAAAATCATTCATCATATAACCAACCGACAAAATATATGTATACGTGTATAGCTATGGAGAATGGAGAAATGTAATCAAAAATCATACGAAGTACCAGACCGGCTATGAATTATTGAAATCATATTCTCACAAACATATGCCATGATGGCATTGTGTACTTTTTTAGAATTATAGTTTTCTGAATTTGTAAGTATGTTTACTATATTTGACCTAGTTGTGTGTGCACATGGGGACCATATCTAAAAAATGAATAATTTATCTGTGACAAAATATGGCGGAATCATTTAGAATCATTCAAGGCTTCAGATTTATGAGAGGATTAATGAAGCTGATCGATATTTTAATTCTGTAACATAAAGTTTGTCAAAAATTTTAACTTTGAGGGTTGTCATCAGTATTGTAGGTTGTAGAAATAATTTATTTAATCATGATTCATACTGTCCTAGTTCTTAATGTGTGTTATTTCTGTAAATTTGAACCAAGAGCTGAGAGTACACACTTTTATTGTCAGAGCTGAATGGAATCTCCAGAATCATATGTAAACGAAAATGCCAGTTTTAGTGCTTTGTGGCTCGGCCAAGTGGTTAGACATCAAACCAGTTATAAGGAGCTTCTCCTTTTGCAAAAGAGTGGGTTCGATTCTCACTAGAGTCCAAGATCTCTAGAATATTCCAAAGAGTGTTGTAGAAATGACAAAAATTCTAGAAACAATGCTTTTAAAAATGTCAAACCAGCTGGACGCAGCAACTCGTAATATTCATTTTCAGAATTCTCTCCCATAAAATATTTCTCACCCATTTCCCAATATAGAAAACAATATCGATAGGATACATAAACGGCAATATATGCATGAATTGACAATGACGAAATACTAAATATAGCAATTATTCATATGAAATTGATGGAGAGAGAGAGACGCACCAAAAGCTGGCAGAAAAAGAAGCCATTTGATGTTGTGAAAATGAACATAAAGGAAGTGAAAAAGAGGAAAATTCAAATATCAATATGTGAATTTGTTACATCAAAATGCGTAATAAAATTTTCATTTTCACATGAAAATTGTAGCCATCAAACTCACACACATCTCATCACATTCTGAATAAACCAAGGCGTGGACACTCAAAAATATGCTGGGATTATTCGGGATTATTGGGATTATTGGGATTATTTGGGATTATTGGGATTATTGGGATTATTTGGGATTATTTGGGATTATTGAGATTATTGGAAAAAAAATTATTCAAATATTTTGAATTTTTTGAGGAAATGAACTGTAAGAAATATGGTATTTGAAGCCAGAGTGACTTGTAAAGTTTAAACAATGTGAAAATATATCATTTTGAAGTGTTTGTTGAGTATTAAAATATAAATTTGATCATATATAATAATTTTCAGAGGTCGAAGCCGACTTGAGTTCGCTCCGGTTCGGCTAAAAACCGATTGATTTTTGTATGGAATTTTTTCTGATTTCACTTGTGAAGTATAACTTTTCATACAAAATTCAATCGGTTTTTAGCCGAACCGAAGCGAACTCAAGTCGGCTTCGACCTCTGATAATTTTTATAGAATTTTGACTGATTCATTTAAACAATCGGTTTTTGGAAATGGATTAGACATTTCCTCAGCGTTTTTAGTTGCAGTTACTAGTGTCCTAAGTAATGTCCATATTAAAACATCAGTCTAAGGAAAGTTTTTGGCTTTATTCCTAGTTTTTTGGGGTTTAATGAGCTACTGTACTAAGTATTTCAGACAATAACCTCACTTTGAGGAATCTTAAGGTTATTGTGGTAGATTGCTCGTCTAAAGTATGTTATAAATTATTATATAATTTTTTGTTAAAGTTTTGTATTTATTAAAATGTCCATTATTTTCCCCACCAAATTCTACAAAATGTACCATGTTTTCGATATTATATACATACTTCTATTTGCTGTATTATTTAAGTTACTGGGATATTTTCATGAATGATTTAAAAAAGTTAAAATTTCGATTTTAAGCATGTGAAAAAATATTTAAACTTTCGTTTTGTTCTTTCTCTTCCCGAGAAATATATTTTTGAACATAATTTTCTCAATTTTTTCAATTAATTTCGTTGAGTTGTTTTATTTTTTAAGATCATTTTTAAAAAAATCAATAGTGTTGTATGACTAAGTAAATTTTGGGTTTTTTAACCTTCACAGTTAAAAAAATTCAATATAGAATTTTCCTAAGTCATGTCCTTTTTCAAAATGGTGGCTGGTTTTTTTTACCTTAGATCTGAATAATAACAATGATCTAATTTATCCACTAAAATAAGTCCTGCTGATCTAGATTCAGTTCAACTCAATGATGTTACCAAATCTTATTACGTTAATACGAGTATGATATCCCGTAATCAATTACGGGCAGACTTTAGTACTTTCTGTTAAGTATAGTTTTGTTTTTGGATCTTTTAATTTTATAAAGTTAGTAGACAGACAATTATGCTTTCTCAAAATTCCGGTGCAGAAAATTTTCGGAATCGGGATCGAGATTGAAATTTTTTGGTCAGCGTTTACTGATACAACTACGATTAAAAATCTGTAAAAGTTTAAGTACGATTCATTGAGTGTAACAAAAGATATAGTCAAAAATGTAAAAATTTTAAAATAAGCTCGCCCCTTTTTTGGTGTGAAAATCCAACGTTATATAACATTAGAAATGGTATTAAGAAAATTTTAAATTATAAAGTTTTATAGTTTTTGATTATTCTATAACGCTGAAGTACTTGATCTCAAAAACTTTTTTTTTAAAAAAAGTTCCTAATATTTTCCCCATATAAACTTGTAATCAGGATTTTCAATTTCGATCTCGATGGCCCGATCCCATAATGTTGACAATAAATTGAAGATTTAACAAAGTTAGATTTGGTATTCACTGGATCTTATTATTTCTTAATGCATCGTTTTAAGTGTTTATTGCAGAGATAGAAGCCGATTTTTTCGGCTTAACTCAATTTTTGATTTTTTTTATAGAAAAATCGGTTAACTTGAAATTCTGAGCTTACTATTGCTACATTCTGACAAAAAAAAATCATAGTAAAGCATGTAAAATTCAATTTAAATAATTGAAATGGGCGCTAAATGGTTTTTTTCTATCAAAAAAGTCGAAAAAATTGAGTTAAACAGAAAAATCCGGCTTCGATCTCTGGTTTATCGCCATAAAAGCCAAAAAGTCAAAAATTTAACCATAGCTGTCATTATCACCGAGGACGCTACTAGCTTTACTAGATTTGTCGAATCAAAAACCTAGTTTGAAGAATTTTTTTTGAGGAAATATGTATTGTTTGATTGATTTTCGGGCTAATACACGATTATTTTGATTAGAACGCATAGTAAATCAATAAAATATAAATTTAAAAGACATTTTAAATTGATTTTTGTAAATTTTTGACTAGTGCACTAGATTTAGTTGGTAAAAAAATCACTTTTTGACGTTTTAAGGCTAGTTCATTACTTTAGCTAATTTTTAAATTAATATACTGAACTCAAAATGTATCCAAAGATTTTTGGGGACATTATTCTTTTCAATACTAGTCAAAATTTTAACATTTAATAAATTTTAAATTTGAAAAATTTTAAAATTATTTTAATAATCCCAATAATCCCAAACCTGGGATTATTGGGATTATTGGGATTATTTGGGATTATTGGGATTATTTGGGATTATTGGGATTATTGGGATTATTTGGGATTATTTGGGATTATTGGGATTAATCCCAGTGTCCACGCCTTGGAATAAACAATTTATTATCACATTCTTTTTATTGTTGTGTCGAAAAAAATTTCTTTAACCACAAAACTGCTTCTTCGCACTCTCTTTTGTGCTCATATAATGGCTTTTTTTTCGGGGGGAAGTAATTTTGCAATAAAAATTAATGGTAAATGGGCGATCGAGAGGAGTTTCATTTCGTTTATTATCCGCCAGTGAATTGAAAATAATTTTTTTTATAAGTAAATTTTATAATTCACAAACGATAAAAATGTCAAATTGTTTAATGGTGAAAGTTTCCTCTGTGAAATATTAAGCACTAAGTGCCATAAATTTGGACGAAAATTTTTAAATTGTAAACAATAAAGTTTGTGACTTTTATAACGTAATTGAAATGTTGTGGGTGAAATTTATGGGGACATTTGAAGAAATTTTAGGTGTCACTTGAGAAATTGAATTTATTTTTTTTTTTTTCGAATAATGATTGTTTTTTGGTACTGACTTTAAAGGTTCGTTTATAAAAGATTTCCAGCTCTTAGGGAATTAAGAAAGTCTGTTGCTATGTGACACTTTTTTGTCAAAATAAATTATTCATTGTAGACGAAAGGAGATGAAGGAGGAGGCCATTTATGGAGAATCCGGAACTATCCCAAAGGAGTATGAACTTATTTCTTGGGTTCCTGGTCTGAATTAGTACCATGATCAAGCAACGTAATAGTGTGGTTTTATTCTAGCTTATGCCTGCACTCATACCTAAGCAAGTAATTTTTTTAATACATTTCCTATATCCACCAGACTCAGAGGGTCCTTCTAGCACAAACTTTATATATCATGAGATTTGAACCAGTGTTCTCACAACAAAGAGGCTAGCTTTTTATAATCAGTTGTCTAACCACTCAGTCACAGAGAACTTTTACTCAGACACTGTTTTATCTACAAATAACTTAATATCTCTGTTTGTTGTCTATCCGGAAACACACATGTCTATATCTTGTTCCCTTAAATCCATTAAATTAAATTTTCAAACCAAATATTCACTCCAAGCTGTAAACTATTTTATCATTACTACGACAAAATATATCCATACATGCCGCATATCCCATCATACCAAAAATATCCCATGAAACATCCTCAGTAAAGGTTTTACCCAATCTATATCGTCTATTGAATGTGTTAAATTGATAATAACTTACGGCAGCACCAGGCACTAAATCTCCGAATCCAATTGATGACAGCGAGATGAAACAGAAGTAACTACCATCCAAATAGTTCCAATCCTCCCATGCTTTGAAAAGCACAGCTCCGAGGAAAATGTATCTGCAAATAAAAGGCAAAGGAAGATGAAAAATTCCAATTAGTGCTGATGAGTCAAATATTTCAGTAAATAGTCTGTCGCATGTACAGTTAGTAGGAATTTATGTTCTACCTACCCAATCATGATAGCCACACAAACGGTAATTGGTACTGTAATGGCCTGCGGATCTTCTTGTATTTTATTTTCAATATCTGAATCGTTCTCACATGATGTTATGCTCGTTGCTATGCTTCCGCTATCGCTCTAATGGGAGATGAATATGAGTGTTGATAGTCAATGAGGCAAGATTCGAAACAAAGAAAGAAAAAAAAAATAATCAGAAATGAAAGAGGAAGAGATGAATAAAATTTTTCGACCAATTTACACAGTCGATATGAAATTGTTCGTGGCTTCATGCACAATTTATGACCCGAGCAACAATATAAATCATAATTAAAATTTTCTATTTGTTTTATTGAACATTTTCTGGTCCGTTGTCTTCCCCACACTAATTTTTGATTCGCAAATTCAATGCTTGACAGACTGCCAATGCTTAATAGAATATACCCGCCTCCCGAAAAATACACAGTAATAGCTGAACAGTATGCTCGCCTGTTGTTTACATGTCAATAAATTGGAACAAATTATAATTATGACTTTACTAATGGGCCCACCCAATGTGATATAAAATATTATGCGATGAGGAATCAGTAAGCAAACAAGGGTAGCAGATTTATTTGCCAAATGCGAATATTTCTAGCTTTTTTAAAATTTATTTGGTGACTTTTTGGTGGTCATGCAGTGAGGGAGGCTTTTTTTGGTGGAAGACTTTTTAAATTATGGCATTTTTAATTGAACTTGATATGGGGTTGTTCACTAATGACGTCAGACATTTAGGGGGTCATGGATTTTGTGACAGCTCAAAAAAAGAAATTTTTTCCAAATAAATTTTATGACAGAAGTGGGAGGGGGGGGGGCTCAATTGGGTCTAAATATCATGTTTTTTTATCAGACGTCAAAAGTGAAAGACCCTTATTTAAATTTCAGATATCACTATAATAAAGATCAACTTAGTATTTAATTTTCACTAGTCGTCATGCAGTATATACCAAAAAAATTCTTCATTTACAAAAGTGTCCATTTAGTGTTCATTTACAAATCAATTATCAATACCCAAATTTGATCATGTCGAATTTATCTGATTGCTAATGTCAATGATTATTTAGTTCAATTGAATGAAATATTAGTTTGATATTGTGGGATAGACTTGTATTCGAATATTTTTGGTCAGTATTATCAAATATATCACCAACATCTATTATGCTTATTATATTATATACTTAATATATTATATATTTATAGAGTCTTGACATGCGTTAGTAAAGTGGGAGTTACTATGTTTCGCACGATTAATGAAATCTCGAAAATGACGTTAATCCATCCAGATGCTGCGTCAAAATAGAACTAATTGTAAATATTATGTCTGTTTAAAAATGACCTCAAACAATTTCAAATTGAAAAATATTCATTGAGAAACTTTACTTTTCACAAACTTATAAGAAAATACCAGAAATACCTTCCAGGCCAGAAACTTTTTCAAATAGAACTTAAAGCTTGACACTGCAATTTTTACTTCCAATTAAAGCACAAACCTGATGTTACTTGTAGCTATTTGTAATATTTAATGTTTTCTCAGAATAAATAAATGCAACAGAACGACAACCTTCAGAACTTTCATATCCGTTCTTTCTTTTTCTCATAACCTTCAAGCCATCTGTGTGTATACCACGAACCGTACCCAAAAACTTATTTGCAATATCAGATATCAAAGAAAAGTGTTGCATTAAATAATATTTTTCGATACATTTTTAAACTGCAAATGCTGCTCGAGATCGTAAATGGCACAACTTTTTGTTCCTTATTTGTTTTTAATTTCTGTCACATGCTTTATTTGATTTTAATATTTTTTCCTTCGTCCCTGAAGGCAACAACAACTTTTTCTTTTCTTCATTCTTACCGGAAATTCACCAATGCTTTGACGTAATCGCTCTTTGTGCTTCTCTCGTGCTAAACGTCGACGTGCAATGTTGGGAAAAATACGACATAAACAGCACTTTGCATAAATCCACTTAAATGACTTTGCTAAAATATCACCTGCAATAAATTAAGGACAAAAAAGAATTTTTTTCCAGTATTAATTTTCTCTCTTCCATCTGTCTCTTTTTTTCTGCTTCCACTTCTATTATTTGCTCGTTCTTTTTATGTTTTAGTGTTTTGGGCATTTTTTTGTTCTTCACATGTGCATTTTAAGCAGAGTTGGAGTGGAATTTTAAAGCTTTTAGAATAACTGTTGGACTTAAAGGCGATCTGGAATTAATTTGTTTCAGAAACTTAATTTGTTAAAGGAAGGGGATGGTTATGTGATTTATCGTACTGATTGTAGAGTGGAATCTGATTCATCAAGCTATATGTAAGCAAATCTGTCAGTATGAATGTAAGAACTATGTAACCTAATGGTTGAGTCACAGATCGTTCATCTGTAACAATCTCTTTCGTAAGGACGTGGATTCGATTCCCACCAGAACTTTAAACACTCAATCATTACAAGAAGTGTTGTTAACATGACAAGATTAGCTTAGTGCCCAAAAAGTTCCATAGTAGCTGTCACATATCAACCTCACCCCCCCCCCCCCTCCACTCCCCCCACCTATTTTTTTAAAAAGGTTTCATGAATTCGCAACGTATTTAAATTAATTTTGAGAAGTTTAAAGGGTGCGATTTGGGCAAAACTTTAATTCCATCACAGACACTAAAAATCCTCACCACCCCACTGCTAATCATTTCTATTCACTAGTAAATCAACTTTATAATATTACAAAACTATTTAAATATTTAATTAGAAAAACATTCAATAACACGAAATCTAGTCGAGATCAGAAATCAAACGATTAATCCCATTGAGACGCCATACTCTGCTTGCTATAGAAATGTGAGAACAATTATGCTGTGGTCATCAGATTCACAAAAATAAATATAGGTACAAAAGGTGATAAATTACCAATATTTGATAAATATAAAAGGAACAATGGCATTCCGATAATTGCGTAGAATATCGTTGTGATTTTGCCCAATTCAGTTGTAGGTGTTTTATTTCCATATCCTGCAAATACGATATATAGAAAATAACAATATAAAAGTAAGAAGAATAATAATGAATAGGTAGTAATGGGAATGAATGAATGTAATATGAATGAACTAAAGCTAACGAATGAAATGAATTATTGCATTCGAAATGGATGAAAATTATTAAATGAATGCATGAGCAATTTTGCACATCATGACCATTAGAGATATTTTAGCCATGCACATAATAATTCAAATCAAGCTGAAAAGTGTTTTATTGTCACTGCTGCTGTTGCTGGTACTTAAATTAATTAACACATCTGTATTATTTATTCTCACATAATTAACTATGCGAATTCAACTCACCTATTGTTGTAATTACAGTTAAACTATATAAAAAGCCACTTGAGAATGTCCATTTACCATCGGGGACACCTTTTCGCTGTCTTTCAGTCACTTGATTTTGAAATAATATTAATTTCTCTTCTACACTTTTGAAAGGAGTTTTTTAATGTCGTGAAAATGAAAAAAAAAATGAAATGAAAAAGAAAAGTTGAGAAATTGAAAAATATTGTGAATTACAAGGAATGTCCTTAATGTCTGTTGATTCTGAATATTTTGAGCAATTGGAATCAGGTACTTTTTATGTTGTAAAGAAATTATCTTCAATTTATGGAACACACAGTTATGTTCGAATTATGGGTTACCGACAATTCCCCACTGTAATTTGGCCACTTTACATTTCGCCACTGACATTTCCCCACTACTACATTTTGCCACCTGTACATTTTGCCACTATTTATTTGCCCACTATTTATTTGCCCACCTGTTTTTTTCGCCACTGCTTTTTTTGCCACTAATCATATGGCCACAAGTTTATTTGCCCACTGATTTATTTGCCCACTAAAGCAAATGATAAAATAAAAAATTGTAAAAAATATTGAAAAAATTTTGTTAAAAAAACATGAAATTTTTAAAATTATTTTTTGGAGCATTTATGGAATAATTGGCCATATTTGGGTGTTCTGAAAAAATCATGCGACCGTACGTAAATGTGCTTGAAGGTGTAACGATATATTGAGATTTGAATAATCTCTCTTCTCTGGCTTGGACTTATCATCACTTATCCACTCTTGCTTCCTTCATTTATTTTATTCTATTTTTCCTTACTAGTTTTTATTAATTTTAATGTTTAAAAAGCTTTAAAGGTTTAATTAACTCTCAATTTACTATTTCATCATTCTATGAGATAATTTGAATAGAAATTAAACGTGACGTAAGGATGCTGGGTTATAAGTCCAGAGATTATAAGTCCAGGTACAAAAATCGTGCACAGAAAATTATAAGTCCAGAAAATCAAAGTCAATAAAGGTTTATAAGTCCAGATACAAATTGCACCTGGACTTAAAAACCTCACCTGCAGTTTATAATGCCAGAAAATTTAAAAATTTTACTTATAACCTCCCAGTGCGATTATAAATCCAGATACATTTTTCTGGACTTATAATCCTTGAAAATTATTTGATATTATTTTAAATTTTTTCATTTAAAGTAATTCTTCACATGAATTTTTGAAAACTTCACAAAAAGAATTCACATTTCTCTGATTTTTTTTCCTCTAAAGTACCATATAGGGTAAATTAAAATTTGCGTGTTTTGAGACTTGGAATTTTCAAACGCTTGTAACTAATCGACGAATTGACATTGTGACCTACTAATGGTCTTGAAATGTTAAGAGTCGTCGATATTTTTATTTTTGATCATGTAAAGGTTTTTGCGCTGCATCAATTCAGAGAAAATTGACATTTAAGTTTTCATTTTGAAATTTGCGCAAAAATATTTTGAAATTTGCGCACTTTTTTGATAGTAATCTTTACCTTATACTATTTAGCATCAAATTACAGCTGTACTAAAATTACAGCTGTAGATTACAGATGAACTTACGCCGTTACGTAAAAATCAATTTACAGCTGTAGTTTAATGTGTATAAGTAAAAACAGTAGTAAATATAGATGGTGTTTATAGCTTAGACAAGTGCTTAGCTGTCCTTACAGTTAATGTAATTTTTCGTAAATTCTGCTGGTTTTGACTATGATTTTACCTTTTACAAAAAGATTGAATAGAAAACAAGGTACAGTAGCGTGTAAAAATTTATAAAAATCACATTTTTCGCTCTGGATGTTAACATTTAAAATATAAATAATACAGCAGTATCTGTACCTGGAATTATAAACTGCAGGTGAGGTTTTTAAGTCCAGGTGCAATTTGTATCTGGACTTATAAACCTTTATTGACTTTGATTTTCTGGACTTATAATTTTCTGTGCACGATTTTTGTACCTGGACTTATAATCTCTGGACTTATAACCCAGCATCCTTACGTCACGTTTAATTTCTATTCGAATTGTCTCATAGAATGATGAAATAGTAAATTGAGAGTTAATTAAACCTTTAAAGCTTTTTAAACATTAAAATTAATAAAAACTAGTAAGGAAAAATAGAATAAAATAAATGAAGGAAGCAAGAGTGGATAAGTGATGATAAGTCCAAGCCAGAGAAGAGAGATTATTCAAATCTCAATATATCGTTACACCTTCAAGCACATTTACGTACGGTCGCATGATTTTTTCAGAACACCCAAATATGGCCAATTATTCCATAAATGCTCCAAAAAATAATTTTAAAAATTTCATGTTTTTTTAACAAAATTTTTTCAATATTTTTTACAATTTTTTATTTTATCATTTGCTTTAGTGGGCAAATAAATCAGTGGGCAAATAAACTTGTGGCCATATGATTAGTGGCAAAAAAAGCAGTGGCGAAAAAAACAGGTGGGCAAATAAATAGTGGGCAAATAAAAGGTGGCAAAAAAAGCAGTGGCGAAAAAAACAGGTGGGCAAATAAATAGTGGGCAAATAAATAGTGGCAAAATGTACAGGTGGCAAAATGTAGTAGTGGGGAAATGTCAGTGGCGAAATGTAAAGTGGCCAAATTACAGTGGGGAATTGTCCTACACTCCGAATTATGAATTCTAATTCAAGCTATCAAAACCCCTGCTGCACCACAGCTGCAACTTTATCCAGCAATCCTGCACCCGAAAGCTCTCAAATTCAAGGACAATTAATCGACATTCCATGTTATTTTCTTGTTTTGTTTAAACAATTCTCATTCCTCATAAAAATGTAAAGAAAAACAATTTTTTTATAAACAGTTTGCGTAACATCGGCACATCCTACTGCAGCTTTTGGAAAAACTTTTTCTTTTCACATCTCAGCTTAGAAAGACAAAACAATGAAAAAAAAAAGCGGGAAAGACAAGACAACAAAAAAAAATCAGAACATGAACAGAAGATACAAGAAAAATAATTTTTATTTTTTTCTATTATCAGTTTTTGGAAGTAGCATAAATTCTGGCATCAAAATGTGTATGGAACAGCAAGACAGAGACTAACAAAGTTGGCGGAACAGCTCATCTAGCAAGTGCATGGTATTGTCTATAGACAATTTGAATATAAAGGAAAAAAATCCACAGTTGGAAAAATCCAAGTTTCTATGTAGCATAAATTACAATTTCATGCTAATGAAAATCGATTTTTCTTTCCTTTCCTTGTTGCCTTACATCCTCCTTTTTACTCCTCTACATACTTACCGAGAAAAACGTACACTTTGAGATATCTAAAGAGATTCTTGAATTGTGAAATTGTCATTTATTAAGGAGGCAGAAAAAGTTACTTCCGCAATTTATTTGCCATACACTTAATTCTCTTTTACTTGTTCTTCTTGCTACCTTCCGTAAATTATTTTGTAAATACGTTGAAGACGAGAAATGAATGGGAGATTTTCATTGGAACTTTGGATTGTTTTACGGTGTCAGGCTTAATTGAAGGGAATTTTATTGTTTTACTTATACGTGAACACACATTTTATTTGAGGTTAAGTGAGATGTTCTTTCGATTGTATGCCTAGTTATGGAGAAGTTTCTGCTTATGTGGAATTCTTGGAAGATCTGATATGTTATGAATAAATAGCAGAGGGCGAAGTCGACTCGAATTTTGTATGGAAAAGTCGACTTGAGTTCACTCGACTTCATACAAATTTCGAGTCGACTTCGCCCTCTGAAAAATAGTATTGCAGGAGGGGGAGGGGGTCTGATAAGATTGAGATTACTTGTTAAATTTAGTAGAATGAAGGTTCATTTTAAAGAGGAACCAATTTGATGCTGGCGTGAATCATTGAAGACAAAAAATTCTTTATAATTCTGAAATTCATTGCGCCATCCAAAGACGCTCCTAAAGCAATTCTCAGAATAATTTCCAAAGCTTTTCTTTACATTTTTTAAAGACCAAACTTTTCAATAATTCATTCAAACTAAATGAAACTTACGCTGCTTCATAACTAGCTCTATCGAATGTACTTTGAGTGCAGCATGAAATTTTCCATAATTCCATTGCAGCATTGGTTCGGTCAATGTTTGTTTGTTCCTGATATTGCTCATGTGACACCTCCTCAATTTTCTCAAACAGCAGTGAACCTGGAAATAGAGAATATTTATGTAAATATTGAGAGCAACAAGACTATCGAGAAATGGGATGTTCGTTAAGTTCGAATAAGGTGTCGTTCACTTATGACGTCCAAAATTAACAGTCATTTTTCGAAAAAAAGACAGAGAATTTTCTGGACCCCCCCCCTACGTCATTCTTAGGATTTATTAAATTTATTTCAAGAAGTCAAGGTGAAAAAATCAATTCTGTACCTAATTAATATTTCACAAATTATTAAATTGAAAAATAATTTTGTAATTTCACACTTAAAAAAAGTAATAAATATGTCCCGAAAGCAGGGGCGTAGCCAGAAAAGTTTTAAGGGAGGGGCCTATTTTCGAAAATTAAAAAAATTGTTATTTTGTATCCTTAAATCTATATTCATTCTTCATAAGTTTAAATATTTAATTCATTATTCATACATTAAATTTAATTTTTCGATCTGATTTTGACATTTCTTTCATCACTTCCTCTATATTAACTGGTTCTTCTCTATAAATACTTAATAAAACAATTATCAGATTTTCGTAGGGGGGGCCCGGGCCCCCTATGGCCCCCCCCCCCCCTGGCTACGCCCCTGCCCGAAAGGATCAAATTCCCACCACCCAAAAAAACATGTTCCGTCCTATAAACATAAAAAATGTCCATCAACACTCACCAGCAATTATATAGAATACAACAAGAAATGTGATCCCAACATTTGAGAACATAAATGCTGTAAATGCCCGGCAATGATCCTTTAAACGTTCAAATGGAGCCTTCTGCCTCCGGCGTACAGACCGCTTTCGCTCCATTTTGTTACCTTTTCTCTTTTTTTCACTTTCAGATAAATTATTTTTTCACTTCTGTACGGGTTTGTTGTTTGATGTTGTTGTTTTTATGTAACTTTCAATTTATTTATACAACTTTTTTCACTTCCCTTTCACGCACACACACACACAAAAAGTTAATTCGCTTTTTTTTTGCTCTCAATAATATAGATCCAGTATTTTGTATGGATAAAGCAACAGTAAAGCTGACCTGTTATCACTATCCAGTTGAATTTTATGTGTAAGCGAATGTGTATTTACAATTGTGTACGTGTGTGTGAGTGTTGTGTGTGTGCGCGTCTTTCCTTCTCTCTTCCTTTATTTTTATATCCAACAAAATATCTCACACCCTCGTCAAACGAGAAAATTTGTTGAGGGCCTCATTTAATTTAGGGACTATAGGCTATTGCTTTTATATAACATATATCCATCCGTTGTTGTAGCTGTTGACTCATTTTCTTTAATTTTATTACGAAAGTTTCTCATAATCAGGAATTCATGTTAACACTGTTCCATACACCTTTTTTTCTGTCATCTCGACTTCTTTTTTTTATATCTCACGTATTTGTTATTTTGTATATTTATTAAAGTCCTTTAATCTTTAACTGAAATTGGGATTAAAATATTTAATGAAAAAAGTTTGCTTCTCTCTTTTTTTGTGTGCTTCCCTTTTTCTCATACTTGATGACATTGTATTTGATATGGATTTTTTTATGAATAAATAAATGGAACAAAAGGACAGTGGGGTTGTTCACTTATGACGTACGACATTTGAGGTGTAGGATGGTCAAGGATTTTTTGACTGTCCGAATAAAAGAATTTTTTATTGTAAATTTTGCGACAGGAGAGGAGGGAAGGTGGGTTCCAAAAATCATGTTTTTTGACGGACGTCATAAGTGAACGAGCCCAGCAAATAAAGCAAAATTTTGTAATTTGATATTGTTTGTGATTGTAGAGAATGATCAACATTTTTTTTGAGATAACATCGAATTGACGTTGGAAGTATGAGCTGTTTTCATGGGAACGGTTAAGGATGCAATGGCATTGAGATTGTCAAGGACCAAGGTCGAATTTTTAATATTTTTTAAATGGTAGATTTATGGGCATTTTATGCTGCCTCATTTTAAAGTTCCGGTTTCTCAACTGGAGTGCGTGTAGTTATTTTTCTTCTCCAAATGACGACAGTAAACACCAAACACCAATCATGAACCATACACAACCTCACAAAATTTCTAAACTGAACTTTGTACTCCAAAAATCTCACTACGAATAAATTAAAATAAATAATTTTCACATCCAAAAAAATACATTCAAATATATTTTCACTAGAAACCTCAAAAAAAGACTCAGCACATCAAGTCAAATACCTCAAAGTGTTCACTAACCAAAAAATTAATTTCTCAACAAAAAAAAATTTAAACATTGTGAAAAATTTAAACAAGACAAAAGACGTGCTGAAATTGCGTAAACAAAAAAAAGATGTTGCTCCTCAAAAGAGAACAATGACGAAGAAGAACTGAGAAATATTAATGACGTCACAACTCGGTCAGTGGTTATTGTTTGTATCTCGCTTTCTCAACAGACGGAGATGAAAAACTCATTTTTTTTGAAAATTTTCTTCGTCGTGAGAAGATTTGTTCCTCACATGTGAGCGTGGATAGAGAAAAATAAAGTTTATGTCTCTATGACGCTGTCAGATATATTTCATCAATTTCCTTTCTGAAGTTTATCAAAAAAAAAAAAAAATTGATGTGGAAAAATACACAGTAAGAATGAAATGAAACAGAAGTTGGAGATGCTTGATAAAAGTAAATTTCCTTCTTGTTATTTTGATCTTTTTTTGGTTTGTTTTATAATTTGACGTCACTTTTTATGGAGACCTTGGCAAACAAAGGCTATATGACCGAGAGAAAGTCAAAATAAAAGGAATTTTGTGTTATTTTTTTCTAGGCTTATTTTGAGCTGTCGATCTGAAGTTGATGAAGGAAGAAATATTGAAAATAATTGAAGGTTGATTGGATTTTTCGCAATTTCTTTTTAGGAGTTAATATTGATTCATGATTTTGGTCTAAGATGCTGAATAGTAATCCTTAAAAAATCAAAATTCTCAAAAAATCTGTTTAAAGACTTAGAAACAAAAACAAATTCACTTCCATATAAGAGTGCGGAACTGATAAATTAGATTTTGATCAATTTTGATCAATTTTGGTCATTTTTGTTCATTTTGATCAGTTCCGCACTCTTGCTTCCATCCAAATCACAGGTGCACTTCAATTCTATTATGTCACTTTTAAAACCCATCACTTGAGTTGGATTTGCAATAATTTTCCATATCCTTCATGACCTTCGTACAAGTTTTAAAGCAATGAATTCTAAACGACTTAAAATTTTATTCACAAACCCATCCATCAATTTACATTTCAAACTTTTGCATGAACAGATTTTTTTTTCCACTTTTTAAAATTATTCAGATTGCATTTTCAGATTTTTTCTTTCTTTTTCATCCTTTCGAATTATTTGCAAAACATTTGGAACGAGATCTGTCTTAAAGATTCATAACATAAAGCAGCTCAGCACGGAGAAAGAAAGAATGCATAAAATAAGAAAAATGCGATAATTTTAATAGAAAACAGAAGAAAATGATGAGATGTGTTTTTTTATATTACAATGTGGCAATAAATTTGGCCCTTGGGGGGAATTTGTCAAATTTAAATTAAAGTTGAAGGCTTCATACCAATTATATTCGAAAAAGTCTTTACCTGACACTCAAGACTAGGCATGCAGGTGTATCTTTGAGGATGAATTACTTGATGCTTGCAAAAAAACTACTAGGGACCCAAAGATTAGACTTTGTTTACGTCCAAGAGGGTTGCTGCTTAGAATATTAGAGGATTTGACGAGCCATGTGTTTATACTAACCTTCCAATAGGCTGTATACATTAAGAATCACCAAGAAATATCTCTAAGACACTAATAGGTTGAACCTATTGTTCACCATTATTCTAGGAATGAATACACTATAGCATATCAAGCAGATGAATCTAAAAAATCAGCACCTCCCAAAAATGTTTGAACAACTTCCTTGACAGTAAAGAACTGCTCCAAAACAGTCCTCAACAAAAGTTTTTTTTTTTCGAAAAGTTCACGTCAAAGATTTCCAAATGAGTAGACAATCTGACGAAAATTGTCTCAAGAACAAGAAGACATGAACAAAGTCAAGAAAATCAACCGACACATTACACAGAATGTTCACTTCACGTACTCTATTAAAGCAGCAGCTACCGCCGTCGTTTATTAATTTTATACGCCACGCATTCTAAAGATTTACTTCCATCTGATTCTCTCATCTTTTATTTCATTATTATTAATTTTTTTTTTCACTCTCATTCTCTCATTTTTAAATTTTCTTTTGATCATGGCAAAGGAAAGTCATAAATCATGAACATGGATTTTTTTTTTAAATGAAATCTCGGCTTGTTTTGTTTATAGGAATTTCCTGTTATATTGCAACATTTCTTACTGTTTCAATCTTTTTCTTCTTCATCATAAATGCCAGAAGAAATGAAAGAATTTTTTTTGAGAAGTAAAACTTTCCATGCTGTGCTTGTTGACATACATTTGAAATCTATTTCGTGTAATAAAATATCAAGAGAAGATTACTTTATGAATATAATAAATTAAGGAGATGCTAAGGAATGAAGAAATTTATACACGAGGTGGAATATTGTGAAAATAAATAATACACAAAGTAAGCACGTGCTTAATACTATTATTTTTAATGGGATAAATTCCAGAATTTAGACTCCAAGGGAACAAAGTATAGGAGGATAAGTTGCAAAAGGAATTGTAGCGATGATACGGTCTTTGAAGTTTAGCGACTCATGACAACAGATTTGAGCTTTTCTGGATTTGCTATGATTGAGAGGCACATGTTGTGAGCGCTTGTGTTGTTAGAATATTCAGAAAGCTTCTACCATTACAAGATAAAACACTGCATTTATGCCGCTAATACAAAAGTTGAAAGTTGACCAAACAGTGCCCTAATATCAATTTTATACTGACGCATAGACATTAGGAAAGGATTTTGATTGACTGAGTAATTAACACTGACTGAGCTTCAATAGAAGCTTCAATGAAGCACCAATAAAATCTATAGCTTAACATCCTTCATTCTAGTTAAAAATCCAACAATTTTAAATCTCCAGAATCTCAACAATGACAAAAAATGCTGTTATCTCATAGATTTCCATGTCTACATGACAGGAATTTTTGACATTCCTTAATGTATGTATTGTTGTTACTCAAATGTGAATATTCAAGCAATTCCATCCCCATATTCCCTATTGAAATTTCATTTTCCCATCTTTTTTTTTGATGAATGGATGCTGAAAGATATAAAAAAAATTCCTTAAAACATATTTTTGAGAGATCAAGGAATGAATGAAAGGAATTTTATCTCGTTTAAAACGAACGAACTGATACAGACAAGAGAATCTGTATTCAAGAGCAGGAATGACTTGAGCAAAAAAAACAAGATTCAAAGCCAATAAAAGACTCGAACAAATCGAAAATGAATTGAATAATTGATGAAGCAGGAAAATCTCATTAACATGTTTAAATATCGGTGCTATACCATTTTGGATGTGATTTCCTCCTTGTTTCTAAAATAGCATATTCAGCGGATGGAATACGTTCATTTTTTTCTTGCAAATCACGCTGACAACAATTCAACATGTGGGCGCAGAATGTAAGTATGTTAAAAAGGAAGCTAAATGTAGCTAATAAATAAAAAGGAATCGCAATTGTGGCAATGATTCTGGTTTATTTTTGAACATTGTAGAAAATCATTTAAATATAAAGGTCACAAAACTCCTAATCACATCAACCATTCACAAAATACTCACTTCCATAAAACCACAATAAACTTTAACATGGAAAAATCGAATCGCACAAAGTCACAAACAAATTTAGCTATAAACTCCGCAATGAATCACTGAACTTAACTCCCGCGGGCACCGACAAAAGTTCATCAAAAGTATAAAAGAATGGAAATAAAAATGTGCCAAATGAGATGAGGTGTTTTATTTTCTCTCGAGGAAGGTCAAGCTCATTACAATAAATTCACAAGGGGGAATCCATATAAACAGACGCAGCAGGAGCTCTCTCTTTTTTGGGGATCAGTGGTAAAATTCATTGGTTGGAAAATGTTGTGTGCATATGAAAAATGTGCGGCTGGCAGCACACGTAGTTTTTAATAGAGTATGCTCAGGTGAGTGAGATAATATTGAGGATGGGAGGTCAATTAATTATGTTGAGGGTAATAAAAGAGTTTAAAATTGGGGAAATGGAAGATTGAAGACTTTGGGAAATGAAGTTAAGGGAAGTTAAGGGAAAGTTTGAGAAACAAATATTTGGATAACTAACAACAGATGCTCAAATTATATAATTTTGGTAACATATTCATAATTAAATGATTTTGAACTTGAATGGTCACTAGGCACTAATGTTTAATTAATAACTAGACATCAATGTCAAGTGTCCACTTATGGAAGTTTGTCAACAAGTCTTAAACCAGTCAGTGTCAATGTCAGATATTCTCGACACAT